CAGCATAAATATTCAATAAACAAAAAACGATACACCACAAGCACTTCCTTTTACTGTAAGTTCAACTCAAAGTTTATTGCAAGAGTCGCATGCATGTGCAATGAATGAATGAAAGAGAAGCAAGTGCTACAGGCTTGCAATATCACTTGGCTATTTTTCTTCTGCACTTCATCTAGACAACCTAGTTTATTTTTTTTCTTAGTGATATGAATGCCCAAAATGACAGAGTATCGCCGCACCAGCAAGAGACTGCTGCTGTTCCTTATATTCATGGTGCACAATCTCAATGAGATTTGTGAGAATGTGAGTTTCAGCTACTGATAATTGCTGTATGAAGACTTGACCTATTCTAGAAAAAACAAAACAAAAATCGTTGTAGTGTAAGCATGTGTAAATAGTAAATTTTAGGTTTGAAGCGACTTCAAAGCGAACAGTGATTTGGTCTGGTAATTTCTAACTGAATTTGAATAGCATGTATCACATAGTTTTATAAATAAATGCGAGCGTATCTGTCATGACCAAACTAACCTGCACAATATTTTTTGAAATTGAAACAAGGCAAGTGTATATGTTACGTTTTTGGTTTTAAGGGACGTGAAAGCAACATCGAATAGTATGTAGCAGGATTTGATTTTTAGTAGAATGCAAGTGATGACAATGAAGTGCATTACCAGATTAAAGTTTGCTGTATTTAGAGCATATAAACTGGTGTGACAAATTTTGAACTGTGAAAAATGATGTATTGATGCGAGGGTATTATGTTTTGTTCAACCATGAAGTGTTGCTTCACGGCAGTACGCATTTCTCTAGGATAGGTGTATTCACAGTAAAGCACTCTATCACAATGAAACCACCTTAACAGGGGTTACGTAAACCACCTTAACAGGGGTTACGTGCTGTTTATATATGTTTATTCGTTCATTTAGAATACTTTGGAATTGGAATAATTTAATGTGTGGAAATTAATTAGAATACTGCAATATTCGTTTGAATATTTGGAGTGCTTGAATATTCGCTCGTGCCTTTTGTAATGAGTACTTCCCTTGCACTCACGGTGCTGTGTCTAAGATTTTGTTATGTGATCGATGTTGCATTGGGCAGACCAAAGGATGTGTCCACCAGGGACTTAACACTTTCAGGGTTTATGCAATTCATGCATGGCATCACCTGACAGGCACCAAAGGGTTTTTGTTGTACATGTACGGCATGCGGGTATGTTCAAATTACACATTTTCGGGGTTTATTTCAAGAAAAAATTCGACCCTCAAAGGGTTAACGAGCATGCTAATAAGATGCAGTAATGTGCTGACAAGCATTTATAAATTTGTAGTCGTGATTGTGGTTGCACACTTCATTTCCGTAACATCAGCACGAGTTAAACAATTATTGCTCATGCATGCAGGAAACTGAGCACCGATACCAGTACTACAATGTGTTAACAGAAAAAAATTTTGTGAGGCGGGATTCAAAGCAAAGTAAAATGCTATCGAATTTTGTGCTATTATTTGTAGATCGGTTGGTCCCCGACAAGAAATAAAGAAAAAAAAAAAACTGCTGGGAATAGCATAGTCAGCCTATTTAAGACTTTATATAGCTCTAATAATTGAATATATTGGCTCTCTTTGACATACTCAGAAGATACACAGAACCTACCTATTGGACGGTATAGTGAAACATGGGTTGACAAATTTTAAATTAATGTCTATTATAATTACACAGAGCTTTATTAACACTGTATTGTTTGAATGACTAGTACAGTCACAGCAGTAAAGATGGTATACCTGGTTTCACCGTGACTTATTCAGCAGTGGGGGATTGCCAAGGAAAGCAATGACTTATTATTTATTTATTTATACAGTACTGCTAGCCTCTAGCTGAGGCTGTAAGCAGAAGTGGTAGTAACAGGTACAAAATAAAGTGAACAAATCAAGATACAGCACTCATCGCATAAGAACACGAAAAAAAGAAAAGAAAAGAAGGAAAAGAAAGAACGCTCTAGAAAAACAAAATGTAAACCGTAATCGCAAATTCTCAAGCACTGGTATGCGCAAACCAATTGCAAAAAGATATTACTGTATTTCTGTTTATAAAAAATTAAAAACGGATACATGACAGCCGTATCGGGTCAACTAAAGGGCTTTTAAAAAAAAGGGTTATAATGCGCTCTGCAGAAAAACGATACAGGTAAGTGTAAGGCATATGGACAGCTTTTGAAACTACAAAGGTTGTAAAAAATTGTGAAGGCGATCACACCTGGAGCGATCACACCTGAAGAATTTTTACAAAAGAATCAGTAGTCGGACATTCCACAACACTGGCTGGGAGGCGGTTCCACTCACGAGTTGTCTTAGCGAAAAAAAGATTTGGCAAAAGTTTCAGTGCGGCAGGAATGCTCTTTTATTTTTTTTATCATGATGGGACCAGGTATAGCTCTCTTGGGCACTGGTTCTATGTACGTTTCCTTGTGTAAACAAAGTTTGTCGTGAAATAGCAGATGCATGAATTTTAATCGGTCTCGTTGGCATTTCTTTTGTAGACATTTTGTAGAATGTTTCATTTAAAGAGGGCTGCATCTCTGCAACATGTACAGGTAGTTGATTATAGATCCTCACATTTGCGATAGACTGTTAACAGAAGGGAAAATTTGGATAGCAGCTAGAGTGTTTACTATTTTCATGGTAGGCACAGACTACTTGCATTTGAAGCAGTGGAACACAAGGCTTTTTGTCTTGATTGTTGGTGTTGTTGTAGGAGTTAAATATATTCTAGGTCCATGCTCTGGGGCAGTGAAGCAGCAAAAATGGATGAATGTGTTTAGTTGCAAAACAGCAACATAGAGTAATCTTAAATGCAACATTGCCAGTTCAACTTGCAGTGATCCTGTGTGAACCTGAATGCAGTCTCAAGTAATGCTGGTGTAGTTTTACAAAGAGTCTTATGCAAAATTTTCATGCTTTCAGGAAGTATGTAACTAAACACGCAAGTATGAAGCCTGAGAAAGTGGGAATGGCTGGCATGCAAAAAAAAAAAAGCTCTTCTGGGCTTGATGCTTTCTTTCTGCTTCTTCTTCTGCTGTGCTCAAAGTAAACAATTGGTGAAAGCTTTCTCACGAAGTTGATATTCTTTGCTTGGCAAGTGCATTTTTGGTGCATTGCTTAGTTTCATTTATTTTATGCCGTCTGATTCGTAAACTTCAGGAAAAAAGTGCTCTGTGTAGATTAAACGTAAATTTAATGCTACCACCACAAATGGGTACTATACAGAATGGCAAGTTGTACTAGTTGGTGAATGGTCATTGCAAGAATGGCAAGTGCTGTTCTAAATGTGGACAGAAAGGGCAACAGCCTCTGCACTCATAATTTACTTATTGAGAAGCAACAAAAAGAAGCTCCTTAATAAATCACAGCTGTATGGTTGCTGACATTGCTACTTAAAAACAATCAAATGCACTAACGTTGGGCTCTGCGAAATTGCATCTCCATGGCATCCTGTGTGGCCTATGCATGCACTTAAATGAACCAGAATGCAGACGGGAATGAAATGAAGCAGCATATCTTTCTGTGAAGGTTTTAACTTATCAGATGTCACAGGACACGAGGAAGAAGTGATTTGGAAGTTAGCTTTTTAAAATAAGACTCTGTCTGGCAAGTGCACCAATCATATGTTTTTAGCAAACCATAAAGCCCATTGTGTGACCATAGAAGCGTGCTAATGATAGGCTTAGTTGTAGTGCGAATAGGTGCAGGAACAGGCAAGTATGGAGATCATTTAAGGACTCTTCGAAAGGGGCTAGTAGATACATTTTTTTAGGTAGTAGAAAATTCATATTGCATGAAAAAGGAGCACTGCTTCTGCGGTACTGTCATATAATTTCGTTGATTCCCAACACACAAGGGGTGAGTTGTGATGTCATGCACTGGCAAGTGAAATTCTCACTTCTTGAAGTAGATGATCATCTCAGGGGGGCAGACTGGTCTTTGGGACCTAATAGGGACAAAAAAATTGATTTTTTAAAATTGACATATTTGGTTTCTGCAACTATTTTTCTATCTCTCTGCAAATTTTCACACACCAGAAAGTAGTAATTTTTTTGTAATGTCATTTTAACTGTCCAGATTTCTAGTGCTGTTAACATGCAGAACCTGCGAAAAAATAGGGAACAAACTTCGAGGCTTCTTCATATATTGCCAGCACCAGTGTTGGAAGCTCTGCTACGAATTTATGGGCCCTTTTATGAGGATTGCAAAACATGTGTACCATGATTGTTACTTTTTGAAGAAACTGTGTGTTTTCAGTTTTTTTTTCATTTTTCTCAAAAAAGTAAGTTTACGATTGTTCAATTTTTAGGCCTCAATATCTTTGCAGCTAGGGCAGGTACAGTAATTCTTTTTGCAATGTAAACCTGTATGTGTGTAGAATGTAAACATGTATGGGAGCAAAATTTGGAGCACAAGCCTTTTTAAATAATTACTCATCAAAATTGTAACACGATTCCAGCTGCTTTTGAAAATAGATAGTTCATTTTGCTGTAAAATAACCAAGAAAGGCCTAAAAACTCTTGCATACTTTCTATAGTCATTAGTCTATGTTGGCATATCCTAAATATCACTTTTCATTAAGCACTTTTTTTCTATGGTGGCCTTAAACAATAGGGGGTGAACTTAAGTTATCTCAGGAACAAGATGAGTTACAGAAAAACTAATTAAATATTTGACATCAGCAGAAAAAAACTGCATAATCTTGTGCAGTTTGATCAAGATCACTGAAGAAATAAAAAAAAATGTCTAAGACTAGTCTGCCCCAATCTGCACAATCCTTCAGAGCCTGTGCATCTAACTGTCCTGCCTGTCGCATTCGTTTCTAACTCTGCAGCGAGGGTCAACCACGGCTGTCTTTCGGTTCAATTGCTGCAAGTCAACTTTTGCTTGGGCTCACTGCTTGCTCTCAGTGTGCCGAGTGTTTTCTTTAGTACGTCCTGCAACAAAAAAGTGGGTATTCAGGATTCTTGCAGGCCTGTCAAGTGCCAAGGATGTTGGTGAACTTGCATTTCAAGACTTCAAGATTGCATGGCCCCACATGCTCGTGTGAGTACAACAAAAATGACCACTTAATTTTGCACTTTTTGTGGTATTTTCCAAGTTTTACCCACCTGATTAGTTTGTACATCATATTGAATCTTTTAGTGCCTCTGTATCACAAACAAGGACAAGAACTTTGTGTTATTGGCTGTGCCAATCACTCCAAGCTGTGTCTAAAACAACATGCATGGCTACCAAGAACTTACACTTAGCCCAGTTTCTGTATAGTGAGTGTTCTTGAGTAAAATGCCATTCCGACTTGCATTGAAGTGTAACTGCATAACTTTTGTCTAGCCAAGCATGAATGAACTTCAGGTATATTTTTTCATGCCTGCAGAGCCAGAGTCTCAGGGTCCATTTGATGCAGCGGAATTCTGGTAGAAAATACTCGATGTACATGAAACCAACATAAATCTTCTAGTCTTTGCACTCGCCACACCTGCACAATAGGATGCTGGCTGTCTGTGTACTTGGCAGCATTCTTTTTAGCTATTGTTCTTCTTTTATGTCTGTTCCACACATGCTGCTATGGACATGAGTAGTGCTGGCTCTCAGGGTTACAGGCGCAGAAATATCTAAGAAAATGGACGACGGCCATTATAGCTAGATTAGATGCCTGCCCTCTTTATAGGTATCTCTACCTTTCATTCATTTTTCCTTTAATTACTACACTTGCACTATATGCAGCACCCCCCCCCCTTCCCCCTGGTCTTCATTATCTGGCTTAGTAAGGTTGTGCCTTAACCCTCGACCCGTACCTCCTCTTTAGGACAAAGGGGGTGGAGAAAATGGAAAATTATCTTGTGGAAACCCTGTCTGACTGCGTCATGTAGCACAAAATTCATTTCGAAATGCGTGTCCAACTTGCTTAAGTAGCCTCGTGTACTGGTGAAATACCTGTCGCAGAACTGTATGAAGCAATCTGCCTCCCACCTCCTCATCTGCGAATATTACCTTAATTTAAAGCCTATGTGTGGCTTCGTCTTTCTACAGAACATTGCAAAGATGGCAGAAAATCACCTCGGATTCGTCTCTTTGTGGATGTTTTTTTTTTTTTTTGGTTTCAGTTGGAGGTTTACTGTATTGGCTGGTTTGTGTGCGACCTTTATGCCTCCCTTTTTTAATGATCAGTTAATGGCTTCATGGTTGCCTCTCAACTGAATTTTATTTTTTGTTATCTGTGCTTCATCAGGACTTCAGTCATAACTACAGTAACATTGCAATACTAAATTTTAACCCGCCACAGGGGTCTAGTGGTTATGGTGCTCGACTACTGAATTTCAAGTCACAGGATCAAATCCGGGCCGCCGCGGCCGCATTTTTGATGGGTAGGAAAATGCTTGCAGCCAGTGTGCTTAGATTCAGGTGCACATTAAAGAACTCCAGGTCGTCGAAATGTTCGGAGTCCTCCATAATGGCTTCTAGCATAATCTATTTGTGGTTTTATAAAACCTCCACAATTATTAGTACAATACCACCCCTCGGAGCAGTACTGGTTTTCCACGATTTTTCTTATTGTGTGGCCGGTACCTGTTACACACGTTCGACACGATCTTCCTGTATAAGCTGGATACATCTGAGTGCGTACGAGCCACACTGCCAGAAAGGCTAAAAATGAATGGTCTTACCATTTATTTTTATCTTTTTTTGATCTTACCAGCTGAACAAAAAATACAAAAATAAATAATTGGCCAGTATCTAGTAGCTAACCTATTGTCGAGGGATTTTATCTGAAAGTACTTCTGCACTGTCTGAATCAGGCGAAAAATGCACATTTTTTCCCATTAATCTTCTAGAAATTCATCATGGTCTGTTCCATAAAATACTCCAAAAGCTTTTCCAGCATTCATTCTACTGAGTATACAGAAAAGGGTATGTTTCTACTTTGTCTGGTCCTTGTTTTCACTTACCGTAATTACTCAAATCTAACGCGCACATTTTTTCCGATTAAGCGAGTTCATAAATTGCATGCGCGTTAGAATCGAGTACGAAAAAAAGAAAAAAACTGAATAGGGTCATTTTATTGCCATCAGCATATCCAAAATGGCTGCCCCCTACGTGCGTCGGCATGGCGCGTCGGCCATTTCTGCCTATGAGTTTCCCATGTGCGGCACTTCGTACGTGTGCTGAGGAGCTCGTCATCTTGGTGTGCATTAGCATCGACGGCATGGAAGGGCCGACTCCAAAAACTCGACGAGTGCGGGCTACGCAATTAGTCTTAGAAAAAGGTCTAATGCAAAGCCAGTTTAAAGCGAGCAGGTGCTGGCTAACTAACTTTATGAAGAGGAAAGGCTTTACCCCCCGAAGGGGAACATGCATATGCGAAAAGTTTTACGGAGGAGTACGATGAAAAGCTTCACAGTTTTCAGAGGTTCGTCCTAAACTTGCGGCGCAACAACGGCTACCTGCTTGGGGAAATCGGGAATGCCGATCAGACGCCTCTTTACTTCGACATGCCTGGCACCACAACCGTCGAGAAGCGAAGCAAGTTCGCGTGCTGACATCGGTCCACGGTAAAACTACAGTGACGGCAATGCTCTGTTACACGTCAGATGGGCACAAGCTTCGCCCGTACCTCATATTTAAATGGAAGACACTCCCGAAAGGAGTACTTTTTTCGAGTGGTGTTATCATGCGGGCCAACGAGAAAAATGGGTGCGCGTTGCAATCGATGTCTCACTTTTTTTTTCCGTCGTCGAAACCGGGTGCTCGTTACAATCGAGGGCACGGTAGAATCGAGTAAATACGGTAATGTAGTTGTGGATTTGTGCTAACTTCTCATTTGCACAACACCTTGGGCATTTCAAGTCCATTTTACAATACGATTGCTAGCCTTGGGAAAAGCTCTGTTTGAATGGTGCTCGCTTATAGCCAATCAAGCCAAAATGTTATGCTTTTTTATTAGCAATTGTACTTTTGGCTTTTTGGCCTTTTGGGGCTACAATTGGCTAGCTGTCTGAATGAAACTATGGAATGTTTATGCAGTGGGCTCATCTGTGCCATGCTGGTGGCATTCCTCTGGATTGCTCTCATGCGCTGGCTAGCGGCTGTCATGGTTTGGCTGAGCATCCTCTGCTTGGTGCTGCTCTTCTCCTTTGGTGAGCTACTTCTCTTCTGGTGCACCTACTTCTGCAAATAAAGGACTGACTCAGATTGCCTAGTAGTGTGGCCCAGCAGGTGGAATGCAAATCTTGCTCTGTTCTCGATTGCACAGTTACAAAGTTGTTAAGCGAACGACCTTTGTGGGTCATGCTCTAATTATGTTGTCTGTTCACCAGGCTCCTACTACAGCTTCAGCAAGTATATTGAGCTGCGCAGCAATGCGGACAGTGGCACCGAGAGCCTCATCAAGCAGTTTGATGTCTCCGTCTCATTTACACAGAATCTGCGAGCCTACACTGCCAACAAGAACACCTGGTTGGTCCTGGGTAAGTCTTGAACAGTGACTGTGGCCTGTGTTTCCACCCGTTTATGAAATACAGTCGGCTCCTGTTATTACGAAGTTCACAGGAACTGCAAAAAAAACTTTGAATTAAACGAAGTTCCAATTAAGCAGAAATCGCAAAAATAGGCATCTTTATCAGGTTGAAAACCACCAGTTCTTTACGAAAAGTAGTCGGTCATCTTCATCTGCTTCTGTTTGCTGAATCTAGCTGTGAAAAGCAAGTTTTGCAAGGAGTAGACGTGCCCAAATGCTTCTTCGGCGTCGTTTTCATAAGCAAAAAACTGCTGCGCAGGAGCAAGGCCCGCAGTTACATCGGCAGCCTTCGGCTGTGGCTCGTATTCAATGTCATCTTCATCGTTGCTTTAATGAACGCTTTTGTGAGGCCGAACAATCTGCACAATCACGCTGTTCATCAGTTCAACACATGTTTCAACTGCACTGTACACAGCGACATAATCTTCAAAGCAGGAGTCATCGAGAGCGGCGTCGAAACTTCTTTCGTCGAGCTCACTTCACATTTCCACCGGAGGACAAGGAGAAGCCTCCCCCGAAGAATTTGTTTGCCATGAAACCACAGGCCCTGAAGCAGTTGGCGATGTTTTCATTTTTCACGCGGCCCCTTGCTCGGGCTAGCATGTGGATGGCACTAATTAAACTCGCCTCGTATTGCGAGGACCTATCCATGCACAGAATAATGCGCTCAACGAGATGCTTCCTGTACAGGACCTTTACGTTTTCGATTATGCCCTGGTCCATGGCCTGCAACGCAGAAGTCGTGTTTGCAGGCAAGGGCAAGTGTGCAAGATGCATGGCACTCAAGCCTGGTATGTCCATGTGGGCACTGCATTGGTCTGCAAGGAACAACACCTTGTGATTCGGTGATGCAAACTTCTGATCCAGTTTGTTTATCCAGTCCCTAAAAATGTGTGAGTCATCCACGCCTTTCTGTTTGAAGCATAGTCAACAAGAAGGGTCCTGACGCCTTTAAAGCAGCTATGCTTAGCGCCTTCCCGATCACAAGAAGGCAACATTGTTCAGTGCCAGTCATGTTTGCGGTGATCATGACAGACACACTCTCCTTACTTTGTTTACCGCCAGCACAATCGTCGTCTTTAAACGTCAGTCTTGTCTGGTAGCAACCGATAAAAAAGCACAGTCTCGTCTGCGTTACAAGATGCTTTTCAGCTGATACTCATCAAAGAACTCGCGAGCACCACCTACTCTACTCCTGACCTTCCCAGAGAGCCCCTCTCCAGCGCCCATGTTCTAATTCACGCCTTCTGCTGCTAGGGCCGTAACCTACGAGCGGTGTGGCACCAGTCACCACCTGTTCGCTGACGTCACCTTCAGCAATTGTGGTCATATTTTGGCGAGCAGAACACTCATAGTGCATACTTGTTATGACCAAATGAAAAATAATTCAGAAATAAAATATTAAAAGTCATTCACAATTTTTTTGCAATTAAAGGGACACAACACCACATAGGCTGTCCTACACCATATAAGTCTACGAGTCCCATGCTTATCTACCATTGTGCAATAAATACTTGAGTTCACTGAACAGCTTACCGTATAAACTGGACTGTAGATCAAGTGGGAGTATAGGTCAACCCCCCAAGTTCAGGTTACCGAAGAAGAAAAAAAAAAGGAAAACAACCCAAATTTGCCGAACGTCATTTCTTCGAGAATTGGGCGCACCGCACCACAATTGTCAGAGCTCCCCTCAACCACCATCGCAACTGTTCCAATTCGTCAGACGAAGCACCACTGTCTTCTGAAGACGAGAGTTTGTCGCCGACCGCCTCCCACAGTGCATTGTCTTCCGTGCCATACAGCGAGTTGCTGATGAAACATTTCTTAAAAGCATTTTCCACCATGGAGTCTGCCAAGAAACGCCAGGCGGAAAGCACCCAGCCACAAACAGTCGCAAGCGGAGGCCTCTGTAGGCGGCCTGTCGGTGTCTTTGGGTTGTCGCCGGACATCCACTTTTGGTATTCCAGCCGCACTCGTACCTTGAACGGCTTGTTAAGCACAACGTCGATTGGTTGGAGGGTGGACGTCATACCACCTGGTATCATGGCGAGGTCCGTTTCGCCATCGCCCAGTGCGCGCTTCACAGCGTCGGTTAAGTGACCACAAAACGCATTTAACACCAGCATGCTGCAAAGATGCGACAGTGCACCTGGCTGACAGTTCCAGACTACTCGTATTCATTCAAGCATCATTGCCTCGTCTATGTATCCCTTTTTCAATCAATCAATCAATCAATCAGTTTATTATCATGTCATAAAAGGATGTTACAGGGAGTAAAATATACAGACGAAATATAAGAACAACAACACCGGGTGGGAACACTTCCTTCGGCATTGTCTTACATTTGAAAATGATGAAGGGCGGAAGCTTTCTATCATCTGCCATGCATGCCAGCATGACGGTGAAGCGCGAGTGCTTGTTGCCAGTAGACCACAGCTTCATATCTTTGGCGCCACGCTGCATGATCATGGTCGATGAAGGCATGTCAAATCTCACGGGGTGTCTCATCGGCATTGTCAATCTGCCCCATTATGTAGTTGTTCTGCTCCCGAAGCCGGTTCACGAAGCCCTGAAAGTTTATAAGCTTGTCCTCGAACTCGTTGGTAAACTTCTGACATATGGATGTGCGGCCCTGGAAAGAAAATCCTTTGCGTCTCGTGAATCGACGCATCCAAGAGTTTCGTGCACGAAACTCTTTTCTTGTGAGCCCAGCTTCTCGAGCGAGTTCTACAGCACTTTTGCGAATGGTATCCACGGTCACTGGCAGTGAGCACGCATGAACTTCCCACACAAAGTTCTCTAGCGTATCCTCCAGCTGCGGACGAACCACACTTTGCCCACGAAATGACATTTTCCGAGGATTGCACATCTGCAGCTTCTCTTTCTGCACCCTGTAATAGCGCATGCTTTTTTCTGATACACCAAAGTGGTGCTGAGCAGCCATATTACCATTCGCTTCTGCGAACTCAACAACCTCTAGTTTAAACGCAGCCGAGTACTGCCTTCTCGCACCTCTACTCATAGTCAGTGAATGAAAAAAAGACCACTAAAAATGAAACACAATGTCAAGCGGAGCAAGAACTTAGAACAGATCGGCGGCGAATCATGAACACAAAAAAGAGACAAGAGAGAAAAAAAAACCTGCTATTGGATTTGAATGCGAATATGGCCGTCGTGTCCAGCTTCTCATGCACATGCAAGCCATATGTTGCCCGACAGCGGTGCACTGCCGGCTAGACACCGCTATATAAGACGAGGGCCGGCTTTAGCTGGTTGTTTTATTGAAAATATCTCGACTTATATTCCAGTTTATGTGGTACTTGACCACCCATATAAGTCAAGAAATCATCACATATATGCTGGCAGTTCAACACAGAGTGCAGGCATTCTTACTCCAGGGCGTTGTAAACAACCGTAAAGTAGCAGACGAACAGGTTATAGGTAGTGCCACCAACGACGTGCGGTTGTACGAGGGCGGGGACACGTGCTTCTGTAGGAACCGTGCTATGTGAGCAGTTCAGCAGTACAGTAGGTCGTGCTCGCGAAGCTTCTTTGTTTTCCATGCCGCACATGTTTCCTGGTCGACTGACGCCTTCTTTCCACAGATGCTCTTGAAAACCAGGTCATGACGCTGTTTGAAGCGCGTCAGCCATTCATCCAAAGAAAAGTCGTTGATGTTTAACATTGATGCAAGCGATAAGGCTTTCACTGCAACGACCTAGCCACTGAGAGGAAGTTTGTTGTTGCGTGCCTCTCTGACCCAAATCAGCAGCGCCTTCTCCAAATCCGGGTAGGCGCCGGTGCACATTCGCTTCCATATCTCAAACTTGTCATTCGCAAAAGCATCCATTGTTGAACACTCTTTTTTTATGAAATTTGAAAGCGTGTTAGGCTTAATGCCGTACTTTCGTGCAATGTCTTGCTTGGTGAGGCCTCCCTGCTCCACTTCTTTCAATACTTCGACTTTCTTCGCCAGATCAAGTGTTCGGTACGAGCCGGGTGTTGCCATTATTCAGCGTTGCGACCAGCCGAACATGGGCAAATCACCTGCGACGCGCATTTGACACAGTCAACAAAACACAAGGAGAGTGAAAAAGACTGGGTCAGTGGGACGGATAGTTCGGCGTTGGACATACTGGCGCTGACTGAACGGTCCTGCCGCTTCATGCACTGTGGTGCTGCGCATAATGGCAGTGGCGAGTGCGATAGCTGTGCTGGCACTTGAAAAATTGCACATTTTATTAAAAATAATGGTTGCCTCGATGCTCTAAATTACAAAATAACTTCTAGTTAAGCGATGTTGTGGGCTTTAAACTTTGAATTATCGAGCATTTTTTTTTATGGGGTTGCATGCAAAACTTACGGAACCACCTGTTGACTTCTAGTTAACCAAAAATTCCAAATAAGTGACTTCAAATTATTGGGAGTCGACTGTATGCGACATTTTATTTCAAGCACCACCAACTTGATACCCAAGTTGTTTGTGTTGTTTGCTTTTACTGCACATGTGGGCGCCTCTGGCCAGGTATTCTTCTACCACAGGGAGTGTTTTTTGTAGGCTATGCTAGATTTTATTTTTTTTGCCAAAAGAACTACTGCATCTAATATTTTAAATAATACACAAACGAAAAGTGGATTGAATGAACTTTAAGGTACACAAGTTTAATCAAGGAGATGTCTTTTATTTGAGTGATACAAATTTCCAGATTCAAGTTGCGGGACAAAATTGAACAAAGTATGTGAAGACTTCCTTCCGTCTTCTAAGAAAAAAAAAACAATATAAATTATGAGACATACAATATGTACAGCCATCTAATAGGCATCATCTCTGAAAAATTCAAACTTATTAATTGAACTGGACTTCCCCTTCCAAATTCTTAATGTGAGCACTACGCTTGCGAATGTCAGTGAGCACTACTCTTGGGAATGTCATGCAGTAAACCACTTCCTCGATGCAAAAGTGTAATGTAACGTCGCTTGTCTTGCATTGTTTCTTGCTTGATTTTCTAGTTTCTCTTTATTTTCTGTAAGTTTTCATTCTGGCTGCCTGGTGCTGAATCGGGGACTGAGATGGCCCGAAGCAGGAAGTGAAATTGACCAATCTAGGCTACAACGCATCATCGTTGTAGTCAAAAGTGTAATTAGAAAATCAGTGTCCTCAGGCTCTCTGCCGCTTATGAAATCGATGTAATCAAATGCAAACATACAGGAATGCCAATATCTGCGATCTCTATGCGTGCGTGTACGCCACATCCGGCAGTGGCCATTTTCACTTACCACTTATATGAGACTTCAGAGCATGTTCAAAGATCAAGGCGGCGTGGTGGAAAAAAAAAAAAAAAAAACACGATGTAAGAAAGAATACTATTATTCTGCTCCTTTACTCTGAATGGCGCTGTGTGTGTCCATGAATGATGTGGAATGTCTCAAAAGCAGCAATTCGAACTCTCGATAGCGGTCTGTCGATGCACTATGGGCACGGTACCAGAAGAGTTAACGGAAATCTCTGCATTTAATATACACAGTTGAACGACTTTATAAGAGACATGCAGTGAGCAGCAATTTTCTTGTCTTTTATATGAAGTGTTGCTTATAAGCAGGGCACCACACATGCATTTTTTTATCAACTCCCTCTATTGCAGTGAAGGCACACTGGCGTCTCTTATACCCATTTGTTTCTTACAGCAGTGTCTCTTATAAGGGGTTCTGACTGTATTTACTTTCGGAGTAAACGAAAGGCTGAGGATACCTCACGGCATTGGCACACACAAGGAATTCATAGATATAACTAGCGAGTCTTCTTAGATCACAGAATACCTTAGTCTTTGGGTTCTTGTATAGCACAGTGTAAATGACACCATGCCATGTAAAGAGAATGTGACAAGTTGGTACTTCGAGGCTTTTCTGGCTTACTTGAGAAGAATAGTGCAGGTATTTGGTGGTATGCATTATAAATACCAGAGAAATGCTTCTTTAATGGTCTTTAGCTGCCCGCTGAATCAGGAGTAGTGCCAAAGCTTTTCTCGAATGTATGTTCACTCATCTAATGACCAGATTGGTTTAGCTCGTGAAGGTGATGATCGATACCGACGACTTGAGATGGGAAAGAGCCCAATAATCACAGTGTGACATCTTGTGTCACCAAGAATGCAACAAGTGAATAAATTCTTGATGCTTTAATCTGACCATTTCAATGTATGTGCCAAGTTCACAAAGCTTTAGACATGAAAGCGAATACAGTGTAATCTCAAGTAACAGCCGCCTATGAATACGAAGTGCACCTCCCTTTCAGTCTAAATAATTAAAAAAAAAAGTTATTCACATAATAGTTTCATTTGCCCTTTTTATTGTGCCAAACGTAACCACGCTACAATCTTTGCAGACATGGGCAACAACCACTAGTCAGGCGCCAGAGTGCCTGACAGGTGATCATTTTTGGTGACACTTTTGTGAGATAATTGTTTAATATGTCGGTATCTCCAACTGATAATGCTCCCGGCATGGTATATCAGCATGGTTGGCACATTGCGGGACTGCCTGGGTCTGTAGACAGACAAATGGCTTGTAGGAGTATCTTTGAAAGCAATTGTCGTGAAATGCGGACTTTGTCTCGACTTCGCAAGAAACAAAGACAGTACCATGCGGATCAGAGCACCGAAGTGCGGGAGGGTCTATGATGATGATGATGATAATGGCAAGAAACAACAGATCTTGAAGGCCTTACTTTTGCTGATAATCACTAAAATACGTCATACACACATCGTCCAACTTCAAGTACAAATCTTGGAGGCTGTGCTTTTGCTCATGAGAACCTGGAAAACTCATTGGTGACAAGTACTGCAAATTGGGCAAGTTGTTGCATTAATATTGCTATAACGTAGCTCAAAAAAAAGAGGCAATGGTGGAGAAGGAAAATGCAGTTGTCTCTTTTCTTCACGCTCAAACTTAGCTTCACTACAGCAATACAATATCAATAGTTAGTTGCACCAACTTTTGAGTGGCATCAGCATAAGGGCATGAATTTGTTGACAGAGGTCAGGGCTGCAATTGTTACGCGATTGTGATCATTGTGTGATGACATAATGTTACTTTTTCCCTCTTGAACATAAATAAAAGAAGTGCGGCTCACACAAGTTTATGCAATATTTGCTTAGTCATCGAAGCCCGTTATGGTAGCAATTAACTGTGTGCCGCGCATCCACACACTATGGCTGAGAAGAACAAGGCTGTGTCCACCCGGCACTGCACAGGACAAGAGCATGTCTGTGGAATTTTGGAAGAAGAATACACAATGGACCATTTTCCAATTATATGGGGCCACCAATAATTGGAGTGAAATATGCTGTTTCTTGTACACTAATAGCTAACACAAGTTTAATCCACAGATCAACTTACTGATTGTAGACCACTGTGCTGACCAGTATCTTTGTACTGAGTTTTTTTTTCCTTGGTGGGCAAAAGTCAGCCCAGTAGAATGTTCAATCATTACCAATGTTACTGTTGCATTCTTTGTTATCACAACTACCTGACAATTCCAAATTCCAGCATTATTTGGAATTATCATTCCAAATTGCAGCATGAAGACATACTCAAACTACAAAACGATCAAAAATGTACTTAAGTACAGGACAACCTGGGCACTGCTGCGGTAGCTAATATAATAGTCTTACAAAAAACAGCATGACTTGCAAGTATTACAGTTGTATGTGTAAAAAAAATCTACGGAACATGAAGATGCAGCAGATATAGAAGAAATGTATACAATATCTGAACACACAAAGTTTTGTCTGTTGAGCAAGTCCAGCGCGAGAGGGGATATTTTGGTAACAAGAGTAAGCAGTGTGCTATCGGCTCTCAAAGCAGTTTCTGAGCTTTTGTGTAAGGCATCTAGAAAAGCAATGTCAGGCCCTCACTCATCGACTTCCACAGTCAAAAGACCAAACAAGAATGCCAGTAGTGTCGCACTGGGACTGCTCTGGTGAAATAAAGGTGTGCAGAAACTCTGTGCATTATTATGAGAGTATAGCAAACCTAGAGTGAGGCCTCTCCTTATTCAAAATTCTTCCGGCAACATTAACTGCTCATTGGGGACGCTGCCCACAATGTACACTCAGGGCTTTCATGGCACACTCGAAAGGGGGAACCATAATGTGAGAGGCGACTGAAGCTGATGCAGTCAACTGCTGAGGCCGAAATGTTGGGACTGGTGGCATGTCTGCATCAAAAAGCTATTTTTCGCATCTCTATGAATGTTTTACAACAAGGCTTGACTACTGCACTACATTCATTGAGTCTAATTAACTCTTCTTGTGTTGCAGCCACGCATCTATTTTACACTGGTTATTGCCCTGTGTGACTAATGCGCACTGTCGTAATTTTATTCATTTATTTTTGTTGGAAGACTGTGTCTCCACTGATTGGCTGAGAATGAATGAACCATTTTCGTCATGTGGAAAGCTGCTTGCGTGAAAAATAAGGAACTTTTCTTTCCTTGCAGGCATTGTATCGGTTGGGATCCTGATTATTCTCCTGCTTCTGCTCATCTTCTTGCGAAAGCGTATCGTGATTGCCATTGCTCTAATCAAGGAAGCCAGCAAGTAAGTTGTAATGCTATGTCAGGGTCATTATTTAGTCTCGACTTCAAGTGGGTTTCAAACTTCTATATTTCTGTTGCTCAATTGTTTGCAACTGAATTAATGCCGGTACAGCATAGTAACTTGATTTGAAGTGTTACTCGTAAATAGTATAGGGCAACACGGGAGGGCAAGGTCGGCGGCAAAGTAGGAGTTGCAGAGCAGCAAGCATGAGTGTGAAAACCTGCGACAGCGAGGGAGCAGAAAACGAAATGCGAGGAATTTTCTGTTTTAGCTCTTTCTTTTCTTCGAAAGAGGCGATGACAGCCATACGCTTCGGATTTTTTTATCTTTGTCACTTCTACATGTGCTCCAGGAGGCCTTGTCAGTCGTGTTCATCTCCTTTCAGTGATTACTTATCGCGTCCACAAAGCAAGTCTGCTTTCACGCTGCGGTGTTACTACAATAGAAAGCTTTAGAATAACGTTTGCCGGCGCTGCGGGCATCGCCAGCATAGCGGACGCCACACGAGTTTTAGAATGCGCAATGCCCACAGCCTATAGGTGGTGTGCCGTGCAATCCAAGATGGCTGTGAAAGGATGATAAACTCGTGAACTCGCATAAGATAGGACGCATGGACGTACTCCCTGTGCTGCTTTCACTCGATGAACTCGTAATCGTCAAATGAATGTATATCGAACTAAAGTACCGTATTTACTCGATTCTACCGCGCCCTCGACTGTAACGCGCACCCGGTTTCCACGATGAAAAAAAAAAAGGTAAGACATCGATTGCAACGCGCACCCATTTTTCTCGTTGGCCCACACGATTACACCACTCGGGAAAAAGACTCTTTTCGGGAGCCTCTTCCATTTAAATATGAGGTACGGGGGAAGCTTGTGCCTATCTGACGTGCAGCGGAGCATTGCCGTCACTCTAGTTTTACCGTGGCCTGATGTCAGCATGCGAACTTGCTTCGCCCCCTTCTTCTCGATGGTTGTGGTGCCAGGTATGTCGAAGTAAAGAGGCGTCTGATCGGCATTCCCGATTTGCCCAAGCAAGGAGCCGTTGTTGTGCCGCAAGTTTAGGACGAACCTCTGAGAACTGAAGCTTTTCTTTGTACTCCTCCGGCAACTTTTGGCATATGACCGTTCGCCTTCAGCCTTTTCTTTTTCATAAAGCCTTTTCTCTTCATAAAGTTAGTTAGCCAGCACCTGCTCGCTTTAAACTGGCTCCGCATTAGCCCTTTTTCTAAGTCTAACTGCATAGCCTGCACTTGGAGCAGTTCTGTCGCCACGGGCCGCTGTGCCGCTCACTGCTCAATCACATACTCGCCGAGCAGCTCTTCAATTTGCGGAAACCGACCCTGCTGTGGTCCGCTGAAGCCTTTGCGCGAATCTTTGCTGTCGACAATATTCTGCTCTTGTTTCCGCCAGTCCCGCACGCACGTTTCGGGAACTCCGAATGACCGCGATGCAGCCCGATTTACGTCCGTTTCGGCACACGCGATGACTTTTCTTTTAAAAGCGGCATCGTGGTGCACTCGTCGAGTTTTTGAAGTCGGCCCTTTCATGCCGTCGATGCTAATGCACACCAAGATGACGAACTCCTCAGCACACGTACGAAGTGCCGCACATGGGAAACTCATAGGCAGAAATGGCCGACGTGCCATGCCGATGCACGTAGGGGGCGGTCATTTTGGAATGCCGATGGCAATACAATGACCCTATTCATTTTTTTTTTCGTACTCGATTCTAACGCGCATGCGATTTATGAACTCGCTTAACTGGAAAAAAAGTGCGCGTTAGATTCGAGTAATTACGGTACTTCCTCAACTGATGGAAACTGCTGAATGTTCGCTACCTCATTTCTTGCCACAGTGCAAAAGGTGGTGGTGTCAGCTGATCGATCGTGTATCAACGATGCTTTACGTAATCCTGTGCATGGTACAAAAAACTGCGCGAACTAGAATTCATGTATGAACTTAATGGCACCCCGAAATCGTAGTGCCGAGCTTGTCTGGCGGATTTGCCACAGTAGTAGGCATATAGCGAGTAGTGCGCCGCCGCGGCTGCACAGGAACGAATGTTTAACGTAGCGATGATTTGCAAACATATCACGCTGTCATCATTACTTGTGCTGTAAGCATCATGTGGCTGCTTTTTCTACAGAAAAGAAGCATTTAACTTCCCATTAAGTAGTGCATCACAACCATCATCAGACTAACAGTGCGCTGTTCCCTGTGCTCGGATGTTGCAGGTTCCATCAGCATGATTGAAACAAGGATATCAACACACGTACGCTTTTCGCAACTTCAAAATTGCGAAAATTCGTTGAATGACAATGTCGTTCAGACGGCACCGGTTAAGTGCCAGAGAAGTTAGCGTAGACTATAGTCGTAACTGCATACCGTATTTACTCGATTCTACCGCGCCCTCGATTGTAACGCGCACCCGATTTCCACCGCAAAAAAAAAAAAGTAAAACATCGATTGCAACGCGCACCCATTTTTCTCGCTGGCCCGCGCGATCACACCACTCGAAAAAACGACTCCTTTTTGGAGCGTCTTCCATTTAAATATGAGGGACGGGCGAAGCTTGTTCCCATCTGACGTGTAACAGAGCATTGCCGTCACTGTAGTTTTACCGTAGACCGATGTCAGCACGCGAACTTGCTTCGCCCCCTTCTTCTCGACGGTTGTGGTGCCAGGCATGTCGAAGTAAGGAGGCGTCTGATCGGCATTCTCGATTTGCCCAAGCAGGTAGCCGTTGTTGCGCCGCAAGTTTAGGACGAACCTCTGAAAACTGTGAAGCTTTTCATCGTACTCCTCCGTAAAACTTTTCGCATATGCATGTTCCCCTTCGGGGGGGTAAAGCCTTTCCTCTTCATAAAGTTAGTTAGCCAGCACCTGCTCGCTTTAAACTGGCTCCGCATTAGACCTTTTTCTAAGACTAATTGCATAGCCCCCACTTGGAGCAGTTTTCTCGTCACGGGCCGCTGTGCCGCTCCCTGCTCAAGCACATACTCGCGGAGCAGCTCTTTTTCTGCGGAAACCGACCCTGCTGTGGTCCGCTGAAGCCTTTGCGTGAATCTTTGCTGTCGACAATCTTCTTCTTTTGTTTACGCCAGTCCCGCACGCACGTTTCGGGAACTCCGAACGACCGCGATGCGGCCCGATTTCCGTCCGTTTCTGCACACGCGATGACTTTTCTTTTAAAAGCGGCATTGTGGTGCACTCGAGTTTTTGGAGTCGGCCCTTCCACACCGTCGATGCTAATGCACTACTAGATGACGAACTCCTCAGCACACGTACGAAGTGCCGCACATGGGAAACACATAGGCAGAAATGACCGACGCGCCATGCCGACGCACGTAGGGGGCGGCCATTTTGGATTTGCCGACGGCAATAGATTGACCGTATATTTTTTGTTCGTACTCGATTCTAACGCGCATGCGATCTATGAACTCGCTTAACCGGAAAAAAGGTGCGCGTTAGATTCGAGTAATTACGGTATTCCATTGCTCTAACTATGGCTTCGCTGGTCGAACTCGAGTGTGTTGGCGGCATGCGGTGCTTTGTAATGTTCACTGTCCCGTATTTACTCGATTCTACCGCGCCCTCGATTGTAACGCGCACCCGATTTCCACCGCGAAAAAAAAAAAAAAAAAAAAAAAAAAAACGTAAGACATCGATTGCAACGCGCACCCATTTTTTTTTGCTGGCCCGCACGATCACACCACTCGAAAAAACAATTCCTTTCGGGATTGTCTTCCATTTAAATATGAGGTACGGGCGAAGCTTGTGCCCATCTGACGTGTAACAGAGCATTGCCGTCACTGTAGTTTTACCGTGGACCGATGTCAGCACGCGAACTTGCTTCGCCCCCTTCTTCTCGACAGTTGTGGCATGTCGACAGTTGCGGCGACAGTTGTGGCCAGGCATGTCAAAGTAAAGAGGCGTCTGATCGGCATTCCAGATTTGCCCAAGCAGGTAGCCGTTGTTGCGCCGCAAGTTCAGGACGAACCTCTGAAAACTGTGAAGCTTTTCATCGTACTTCTCCGCAAAAGTTTTCGCATATGCATGTTCCCCTTCAGAGAGAAGAGCCTTTCCTCTTCATATAGTTAATTAGCCAGCACCTGCTCGCTTTAAACAGGCTCCGCATTAGACTTTTTTCTAAGACTAATTGCATAGCCCGCATTTGGAGCAGTTCTGTCGTCATGGGCCGCTGTGCCGCTCGCTCCTCAAGCACATACTCGCGGAGCAGCTCTTCAATTTGCGGAAACCGACCTTGCTGGGGTTCACTAAAGCCTTTGCGTGAAGCTTTGCTGTCGACAATCTTCTGCTTTTGTTTCCGCCGGTCCCACACGCACGTTTCGAGAAGGACCGCGATGCGGCCCGATTTCCGTCCGTTTCTGCACACGCGATGACTTTTCTTTTAAAAGCGGCATCGTGGTGCACTCGAGTTTTCGGAGTCGGCCCTTCCATGCTGTCGATGCTAATGCACTACAAGTTGACGAACTCCTCAGCACACGTACGAAGTGCCGCACATGGTAAACACATAGGCAGAAATAGCCGACGCACCATGCCGACGCACGTAGGGGGCGGCCATTTTGGATTTGCGATGGCAATAGATTGACCGTAATTTTTTTGTTCGTACTCGATTCTAACGCGCATGCGATTTATGAACTCGCTTAACCGGAAAAAAGGTGCGCGTTAGATTCGAGTAATTACGGTAATTGGGATTTATTCAATGCACAAGAAAAAGGTATGCTTTTATTGTGAGCTCGCTGAAGGATATTATACAATAAATAATATCAAAGTGACTTACGAGCGTCAAAGATATTAATGCACGACAGGACGTGAAGTGCAACTCTCTGCTCGTGAGCTAGCAGCCGATCGTTCTTCACCACTGTCACTCTCAGTGCATTGACAACCATCTACGTCCAGTGAACAATCCTCGACGTCAAGACGGTTTCTTTGAACATCACCGCTGAAAGTAATTCGAAGAATTCTCTCCACCAAA